ATAACTTTAGTATTATAAGCTACCTAGGTTAGTAAGGTATAGTAGTAAGCCTTATAAGGGATTTTTACTAGCCCCTCTTATAGTACTATATTTACTACTTCCTTTATAACTATAATATCTATAGCTATACTAATATTTAAAGGGTATAGCTTAAGGGGCTACTTAAGTAGCTTTTAGTACTTAACCGGTTTTATATATATATATAGATAGACTTTATAATAGACCTTCCGCTTATAAAAAGCAATAACTACTATATATAAGTAATTAAGGACTAGCTTAGTAAATTAATAGTACTAAAGCTAATACTATTTATAAATATAAAAGCTTATATAAAGCGCTTCCTCTAGTACTAGGCCCGCTTATATAGCTAGCTAACCTTTATTATAAGTAATAAAGGATTAAACTAAACTAGCTGCTTTTAATAGTACTTATACTAGCTATTTTAAATTATATAGCTACTTAGTATAGCCTATTACTTATAGACTAATAAGGGACTTAAGAGGGTTAACTAAGAAGTATAAGTATACTTATAGGTAGTAATAGCTTATAACTAAGCGGACTAATACTAGTAGCTCCCTATAGCTTAGCCTATATTAAATAGTAGACTATAGACCTCTATTAAGATAGCCCCCTTCTTTACTATATATAGCTTTAAGCTGCCCTCCTTAATCCTATTTACTATAAATATAGTAGTAGAATAATATAGTAGTTTATTATTAAAAAGCCGCGCCTTTATATTTATATAAAAGCTATAGGAAACTATAAAATACTATTAATCTATAATAGCTACCTTAGTATAAGATTAAGAGCGGTATACTAATAAGACTAGGGCCCTAGCGGATAGGTTTATAGTAAGAGATAAGGTATAGCTTAACCTTTATAACTATAGGTTAACGCGGCCGAAAAAAAAGCTAGACTAGCTATATATAAAGTTTATAGTATAAAGGGTTATTAGCCTATAAGTAGGTAGTTAAGCTTAATAGTCTTTTAATAAAGGTCTATAATAAGATTAATATTAACCTTCTTTACTAAGCTTCCTTTAACCTATTACTTAGATAAAAAGTATTAGACGCTTAACCGCTTACTATTAAAGTAAAGAGAGATAATAAATTTAAAGTTAAGGAGATATAAGCTATACGCTAAAAAAAGGTTAGTTAAGGGAAACGCTAAGAGGTCTTTATAAAGTAATATAGGTACCTTAACTTAATATAAGAACCTATATATAAGTTTATAAGGGCTATAGCCCTTAATAAGTTTAAGGCCTTTTATAAATTAATAAATAAGAATAATAGATTAATAGACTATTAGTAGTAGCTTAAGCTAAGACTATAAAGTAAGTAAAGTAAAAGAGGTAGTTATAGTAATATAAGTATAATAGTATAAGTAAAGATAAAAATAACGTTTATTATAAAGTAAAGCCTTTAAACTACTTAAGCTTATTTCTTATTATTATTATTATTATCGTTATCTTTATTAGCCTCCTTCTTTATATTAATAGTAGCGGCGCTCTCTAAAGCGCTAATACGGCCCTCTAAGCCTATAAGCTAGTTAGTAGTAGCGGCGGCTCTAAAGGTAAAGGGGCGGCGGCTAGTATTAGCGGTAGTAGTAGGGGTAGTAATAATAGTAGAGGCGGGCATAGCTAAAGGGACCGCTAATAAGGTAATAAAAGTAGTATCCCTAGCACCGGGTATATTAAAAGTAAAAGTAAGGGAGTAAAAGAGTAAGGACTTACTTAAGTATAAGGCCTTATTACTTAAGGGCGCGGAGGTTATAGTATATAGTAGCGGCGGCGGTAAGGCGCTTCTTAGTAGCCCCCTATACCTACCTATACGCGCTAGCCTTTTAAGCTAACGCTATAGCGAGTAGGATAGGAGGCGCCGCCTTATAAGCGCGGCTAGCACGCGCGTACTAGTAGTAGCTACCGCCGCGGTAGCGCTTAACTTAGTTATAGTAGTTAAGCTCTTATAATATATAATATATATAGGGGGCTAAGCGGGTAGCGCTAGCTTATACTTAGCGCTTATACTTTAAGAAGTTAGCGGAAAATATCTATTACGCTTACTTAACTACGGACTTATAAGGGTAGTAGAGATAGAGGTAAGGGCTAAAGGGCTAGGCGTTATAGGTAGCGGTAGGAACGGCGTCGTTACCTTAAAGAGTAATATAAGGGTAGCTAGCGCTAGCGTAGTAGAAGTAGTAGCGGTAGCGGTAGGCGCGGTAGTAAGGGTATAGGTAGGAGCGGCGGTAGTAGTAGAGCCGTTATTAGCCGCCGCTAGTATAGCGTTAATAAATACCTCTATACGCTCTAAGAAGGAGGAGGTAAGGGAGGGGGAGGTAGATATATTTATTATAGAAGTTAGTATAATAAAATATAGCCTCCTACTTTATAAGGCGAGGAACTTACTAGTTAAAGTTATTATTATTATTAAGGCTATTATTACTATTATAACTATTACTATAAGTATATATTAATAGGACGGCCTATATAGCTAAGAACGAACTAAAGCCTTAGGTAGAGCGGAACTTACCTATTACTACTACTATTATTATAGTTAAAGAAAAGAGAGAAGGAAGGAAAGAAAGGAAAGAGGGATACCGCTTTATATACCCCTTAGTAAAGGAGGTTACTTAAGGCTATAGGGATAGGTAACTTAAAGCTTATATAGGCCTAGGCTAGCCGCCGGCCGCCTAAGGGTATATATAATAGGTTATGCCCTTATTTAAACGGCCGGCTAGCTAATAGGTATAGAGCTAGGTTCTAGCTACCTAGGCTAATAAGCATAGGGATAATAGGGCTAGTAGGGCTAGTATAATTAATAGGAAAGGGTAAGGTAGAGCTAGCGGTATAAGGAGCCTAAGGCTTAATTATATAGAAGTTATTAATAAGGTAGCGCCGCGCTACGCTAAAAAGGAAGGCATTATATAAGAGTCTTTAACTATTATAAGTTATAGGCTTAGGCTATAGCCTAAGCTATATAGTTATATATAGAGGGCTAGATCCTATATATATATATATAAGCTAACCGTATATAAAAGAGCTCTATATAGCTTATTAATATTATCTTATAAATAGCACTTATATTTATACCTCTACTTACTTTATAATAAAGGCCCTTACTTAAGGGACCCCTTTAGTTTTTATTAGCTACTTATAAAGAAAGGTCTAGTAGGCTACTTAAGACTATTAAAAGGGCCTTTAAGATACCGAAGTAGCTAAAGGCCCTAAGGCTAAGGGCCTAAGTAAGTACTATATATTTATTTAAAAGACCCCCCGCTTAGCCCTTAGCCTAGAAAGGGACCTTATAAAGAGGCCTAGGCTAACCCTCTTAGCCTTTTACTAGCTCCTTTTTAAGGCTAGCTTCTTATTTTCCTTCTTAAAAAGGACTAATAAGGTAGACCGAGACGACTACCGCTATAGCTAAGGAAGTTATACGGCTAAGCACCTTATCCTAAGGTGCCCAAACTATAAGAAGGAAAGAGAGGTCCTTTACTAGACCTCTAAGAGATAAAAGGAGGCCCTTAGCCTACCTCTTCTCTATAGCTTTAAAGAAGGAAGGGAAGCCCTTTTAACCTTCTTAGCTAAGATAGAGATAGGGATAGCTAAGTAGCTTAAAAAGGAGTAACCTAGGGGCCTTAGGGCCCTTAGGGGGGGAAAGCACCGCGTAGGACAAACTAAACTAACCTTTCCTTTATCTTTGCCTTTATAGCTACCCTTTCCCTAATTAGTTATAAGCCCCTAGGCTCTATAGCTAGCTAGGACTACTAATAAGGGCCTAGGCCCCTACTAGCCTCGCTATAGCCCTAGAGGCTATATATAAGTAATAATATATAAAAAAAAGAAGCGGAAGGCTTTTAAGGAAGATAAAATATAGTTAGGACTATAGTAGTAGCCTACCTAGGATTATATATTAGTGGATTTTCCTTTAAACTAAAAAATAGCACTTATGCCTATTTAGGCTATAGTCGAGGCGCGATGGCTTTAACCTATGCTTAGCGCGATAATCCCTGCAATATGTCTGTTTCGACCTACGCCGCCTCCCGGCAGCCTTCCCGGTAAACACGGGTTGGGCCATCCAGGCATCGGATGTGGCCACGCGCGAACTACTGACCAGCAACGTCGTCAGGCTCAACAGGTGACCGATGCACCGTATCCACCCACCACTTTACCTTGACTAAATATCGCCTTCCTATAAGCTACAGGGAAGGGGGCGGTTCGATATATGGTATATAGCTAGATCGGGCCTGCCAGGAAGCGTTTTAAATAACTGGTTGGCCGCTGCAGGCGAAAGAGTGTTCTACGGGATCCCCCTGGGAAAGTCGAATTGCAGGTATACGATGTGCAGCCTTCGGGCTGGATATTCAGCGTTAAGCCCATTGCCTTGGCAACGTAACGGGTGTTCGAAGTATTTTAGTAAGTAGCGAGAGTGGTGGCCCACCGTCAAATCACCACCATTGCAGACATGCGGAAGGGACTAGAGTTTCCAAAACCTCACCGGTTCCGGGATAAAGATGTCCACTTCTCAGATCTACCATCAGCCGTAGAAAGCACGAATACAGCAAGTCACAAGCGCAAATTATCCTCTAATAATACGTCTGACAACACGTCTGGATCCAAGAGGCGGCGGTCTAACAGGCAGAACTTAAGGCTAGCCAGTGATTTTAACGGGTATCTATCGATCGGCAAGACCAAACCAAGCTTGTATACTTCTAGGGGCGAGGATCCGTTTAAGAACAGGATCTATTCTTGCCTTGTCGTCTCACCAGCCGGCCGTGTCATCAGCGACTTCAAGTCGATCAGGGAACTGCCAGAGTCGCTCCGGATATCCTCCGGTTTCTACGGCTTACCTCCGATATGTTGTGTCGTCACCTCGCGCGGAAGAAGTGGTACAGCAGCTTTAAGTCTATATGCTTGGACCGAGTGCAAACCACGTCGCAGCCAGTACAACCCTCTTAGGATTGAACAGGAGACGTTTGAGTTATATCTTCTATGCCTTTGGGGCCTATACCTCCTCAACATGCTCGCTGCTCTGTGTCGTCTGTGAAACCGAACTCGGCAGCTGGCTCATGCGGCGGCTATATCTCCGGTCCAACCACCGGCGCTTGGGCGATTCGTCGGTTTCGGTGTCGGGTTGGCCCGCGGCCACTCGATGCTCCTGAATCCCCCATCTCGGGTCCGTGGTAATGGTCTGCCCGTGGTACTTGAGAAGAAAGCCAACGCACACAGGGCCCAGGATGGTATTGAGCACGATGGCCCATGCGGCCGTGACAAATGCGTCCTTGGACATAAAATCAGTCTCGTTGAGGCCGATTTGGATGATGAGCAGGCCGATCTCGCCTCTCGCGACCATGGCCATGCCAAGGAGCGTCGCAGGCCGCCAGGTCGCCTTGGCCAGCGACACCTCCTTTTCCCGTGGCTGCCGAGCCGCCACCTCCCACACGGGCACGACGGCGCCGACGACGGCCTTGCCCAAGACCATGAGGATGCTGAAGACGAGGCCCTTCCAGACGGCCTCGCCGGTCCAGAGGGACTTAAAGGGAATGGCGAAGCCGATGCTGGCGAAGAACATAGGCTCGAGGATGTACGTCTGGGCGCCAAGGACGTATTTTTCAAACGTGTGCGTAAAGTTGGGCGTCTTGCCCGGGGCCGTCTCGCCGTGCTCGCGGCTGAGAACCATAAACGGGGCGTCGGGATGGATGCAGGGAAGGCTGGAGAGGAACGTGCCGGCCAGAAAGGAGCCGTACAGCACCGAGGCGCCGGCAAAGGCGGAAATAGAGATGAAGGTGCACAGCACCAGCACCATCAGGACGATGTTAGACACGTGCTTAAAGCGCACAAAGTGGTGTTCGACGTATCGCCGGAACAGGGGGCCTAGGACAAACTTGGCGAGTAGTGGCGAGGCGACTCCCATGGCGACGCTGGCCACGATGGGGCGGCCGATCAGCCAGCCGATATTTATGGAGCCGCTCGATCCGAGATTGCGGATGATGCTGTAGGTCCCCCGTGTTAGCAGCTGTCGTGTACATGCATGCATGCTCGCCACGGGCCGACGGCTACATGCCTTGCCATGATCAGGCCCGAGACGTCATCGAAGACGGCGGCGCTAATGAGGATGGTGCCAATGCGCGTCTGGGAGAAGTCGGTTCCCTTGACGGCGCGGCCAATGACGACAAACGTGGTGCCCAGCGACGTGGTCGAGAGGGCGGCGCCTATGATAAAGGTCTCGACGGCATCTGCGCCACGCATGGCCGTCAGTCGACGTTGGCGCAACATGGCCAGAGAGGGGAGCACCGTACTGTATCCAAAGCCCGCATACAAGAGGCCGTAGCAAAGGCCGATGGGCGTCAGGACCCCGATGGTGGCGGCTGCCAACGACGGCACAAAGTTCTTCTTGAGGAGGTCGAGCCGCACCGTCAGGCCGCCGCCGAAGATGATGAGGATCAGGCCGATGTAGCCTAGGTCGACAAACGACTTTTGCCATTCCTGCGGCAGGATGTTGCCGACGGGCCTCCCGTATAGCAGACCGACGATGATCTGTCCGATCAGGCCAGCCTTGAAGATCTTGCCGGATGCCCACTGCGCCAGGGAGAGGAAGAAGAAGAAGGAAATCAGAATCAGCAGCTGGATAACTGCGCCAAGTCGGTCAGCCAGGCACCGGTTGTCCGTCATCGACAAGACCTACTCCCAGGTTCGTGATACTGCAGGAAGCTGTCATCAGATTCGCCTGCCATGGCGGATATTATTTGATGGGAGACGCTCTGCCCTGCAAAGCCTCGGGGGTCCTCGGCGAAGCAACGACGCCGACTTGCGCTGTTGCTGATAGAGGTTGGATGGTATTGACAGCCTGCTGCCTCGCAGTCGACGACGAGTCCATGGATGTATATACTCGAGCATTGAGGCACGGTATCCGTGCTCCTTCACGCAACTCTGCACCATGGCGCTTTGCTTAGTGTATAGCGCAGGGCTGCAGCAGGCTCGGGGACGCCTCGCGAGGGCCAAGATGAACGTTTGTAGTGTGTTTCATCGCCAGAGGCCAGACTTCGGGCCCCGCGTGGATCTCTCGGGCAAGAGGCTTGATCTAATAATAGAGCCGGCTGTTAATTGTTGCGTAAGGACTTTCTCATCCGGGAATGCCCACGCACATGCACATACAGGTAGTCTTCGAACCAGTCTCGTCGTAGCTAGGACGAGGAAGTCGATACATGCAACAAAGCTAATCGAACGGCTTGGCGAGAATTACCTTGGCCGAATGTACATACTAGTCATAACATGCATGTACTTTGTCTTATTAGAGTAGAGGACAGTGGGCGTTTCCGATTCGGACAGAGACGTCAACCAACTCACCACATCTGGGACAGCCGCCGCAACACCTCTTCATGGATTCTGGCGTTAAAAAGACGTCGGCCCGTCCAATGACCATCATCTGCGCATCGTGTTTACAATTGCTGGCCTACCTAGTACCTACCCCTCGTTGGTCTCGACCACGCACAGGCGTATGCCAAGAGTTTACGGGGAGACATTCCAAATTGTAATACGCGCCAAGAAGCGCGCCCCTGGCTGAAAATAGATGAGTGGATAGGTATTGAAGTATGGTGAAATACTAGGCGGCTAATCGCCTCCCTTGGACAAGACAGCACGGCTCTTGGCCCGTCCAATGGCTATGATCTGCATCGCCGCCGTAATTATTGTTATTGACTAACCCCTTATCGGTCCCGACCACACCCAGACATATGTCAAGAGTTTACCAGGGAGATTTTCAAATGTAATACGCGCCAAGAAGAGCGCCCCTAGCTCAACATAGACGAGTGGCAAGGTAGCAAAGGTACTGGACGACCAATGTCGCCTCCCTCGGACAAGAGAGCGCCAAGAAAACAAAACATCAAGAGCCGTGGTTAATGACGAGCGTGGCTGGTGGCAAGCATCTCGTGTGGCCATTGATGCTCCAACGTCCCCGTCTACAGTGAACCTTGCCCCCCGCATGTTTCGTCGGGCTCATGCGACTGCAGGAACCCCCCTTCGGGCTCCACACGCTATACCGCAGCGCTTTCCCTCCACCTCCATCCAACAGGCAGACATTCGACGTTTTACGTCTGGCGGCTCTAAAAAGAAACACTACATAAAGCGTCTCTTGGCCATTCCCCCTTTAAATTCCTTTTGCTTCCCGAGGCTGTTACTTATTGTGTCCCTGTTCACATCATTTACGTTGTTTTTCGCCAGTCAAGCCCAATTACGTCGAGTCTTGCGTCTTTTGCTGTGTTCCTCGCTCGGCCTATCGAAGGCTTGCTTGTCTTCTACTCCGCTCGTTGCCATCGTCTTCCGAGAATGGGCCGAAAATCGTGTTAGCAAACAACCCCCCCAGCCTGGTTGCAAGGCAACCAAACTTGGCCACCAAACTCCAGTCCTGTCGTCACCTTGCAGGTCAAGGTCACTCGATTGCGATTCCTTCCGCCCTACCGCTGCCTGCTTAGCAACCCGAGACCCGGTTTGCTGTTCGATCCGCCAATATGCCGAGTCTCGACGTCTCCGAGCTCAATATTGTCCTGGCCATCTTGGGTAAACTAGCCCCAACTCGCAAACACAGTTTCCGTCTTCTATGGCAACTAACTTCGAGATAAGGCACCTTTATCGTGCTCTATGGCATCATCTCGGTCAAGATCAAGCAGAGATGGTATCTTGGCGAAGCCTGTGAGTGCTTTGACGCCGCAGTTCGTCGCTGTGCTCGTTGTACTAACCATTTCAGTGCCGGCTGTCGCCATCGGCGTCGTCCTGGGCCCTATAGCTGCCAAGTTCCTCGACAGTGAGAGATGGGGCTCGGCCGAAAGGGGACAGACTTCTGAAATCACTCTAGTGAGTGGTCGCACATCTCCTGCCAAACATATGTTACCCAAGAAACATTGAAGCCAGGGCTTCCACATTGCCACCTTTCTTTCCCTTTTCCTAACCTGAGTCTATTTACGTACTTGAAGCGTAAACTAACTCATACATCTACACGTATTAGGGCGTTACCCGAGTAATGATTGGTCTTCAACTAGTCATCGCCGGCTACCAGCTCCCTGCGAAGTATAACCTAACGCGGTGGAAGGAAATGACCATCTGTCTACTCCCGGTTATGACCATTATGTGGCTCTGCACGACCCTCTGCATAATGGCTACAGTGCCTAAGCTTACTCTGCTGGCTGCCCTCGTCATCGGCTCATGCGTTACTTGCACCGACCCTATCCTTTCGCAGGCTATCGCCAAAGGCCCCTTCGCCGATAAGTACGTTGCACGTCCTCTTCGTGAGCTTATCTCGTCCGAGGCCGGTGCGAACGACGGGTTCGGCTTCCCGTTTCTTATGCTCGCCGTCTACCTTATCCGTTATGCCGACATTCCTAGGGCGGGTAAGCAGAAGGAGGGTGTTATCGCTGCCGCCGGCGAGGCCGTTCGTATGCTTTTTGCCCGCGAAGAAGAAGTTGGCCGTCTCGGAGGCGGCGTCGGTGTGGCTATGAAGAACTGGTTCCTTGAAACCTGGCTCTACATTGTTCTTCTGTCCGTCTTATATGGCGCAGTCGTCGGCTACGGCTCATGCAAGGCTATTAAGTTTGCTCTCCGGAGGTAAGTCTATTCTACTTTAGAACGCCGTCCCTCGCTATACCAAGCTAACTTTTGTTATAGAAAATGGATCGATGGAGAATCATATCTCCTATTCCCAGCTGCTCTAGGCATGTTCCTTGTGGGCACCTGCGGCGCCATCGGAACAGACGACCTCTTGGCCTGCTTTGTTGCCGGCAATGCCCTTAACTGGGATGGCAGATATCTCGAGGAGACGGAAAACCGCCACGACGAAGTCAACTCTTGTATCGACGTTTTGCTTAACTTTGGTGGTTTTATGTATATTGGAACAATTATTCCCTGGTCTAAGTTTAACGACCCTAACGGTACAGGTCTTACCTACGGTCGCCTATTTCTCTTAGGCTTCATGGTATTGATTTTCCGCCGTATCCCTTCTATTCTTATCACCTATAAGCTTATGCCAGATGTTGTTAAGAACTGGAAGGAAGCATTGTTTATGGGATACTTTGGGCCCATCGGCGCCGGCGCTGTCTTCTACCTCGAGCATACCCGCCACCTATTTCCCAAGCCGGGAGAGGGCGATAGGGAGGAGACGGAATTGATGAGGGCTATTGGGCCCGTGGTATACTGGCTTGTTCTCTTTTCTATCGTCTTTCACGGCCTCTCTATTCCGGCCTTAAACCTGATCTACTCATACATGGGAGTTAAGCCGATTCGAGACGACGCCGTCGAAATCCGCCGCGTTTCGATGCGGGTGGCAACGCCTACTAACGCGGTCCCCGGCGACAGAAGTACTTTTATCGCCTACAACCGCTTCAGCAGGCCTATCTTTGATCCATCCACGCTCCCAGTGACGAAGGAATCATTCGAATCGATGGATAACGACTGGTCAGGCAACAACTATCTAAAGGATGCAAAAGGTTTCCCTCCCGAGAACGAGTACAAGTGGAAGCTTAACCCATCGACAAACCCTGACAAGGGCGGACCGAGGATTCGATACGCGGAGTAGACACCTCAGTTCGGCTGGTTCTTGAATCAATGGCTGCCGAAGGATCCGAGCTCTTGGACACTGGGAAACAGGCATGGCAGACTGGTGGAAAGGACAATCATGGCTGGGCGCACCCTGTGAATTGAAGGGAGGCAGCCACAGAGTAGGAAGCTGAATGACGGAGTGGTACGACGGCGCAGCCGGAGGATCCACCGCCGTTCTCATACATATTTCTTCATACGTGCGGCGGCTTCTATTCCAGTCGAGCTGTGGCGAGCCCCGAGGGGAATCTTGCGTTGTGGTTGGGAGTTATGCATTTACGGTGGTTGTTTGGTGTTGTTGGCCGTGGCGAAGTGGTAGAACTGAAGACATGTAGAAGGGAAGGGTATAGAAATAACAAACTTGAAGTCGCTCGTTAACCTTTTAACTCGATATACTTTTTTATCGGCAATAACTATACGCGCCGAACCACTCTGCTACGGACGCCGCCTTACGGACGCCGTGTGGCTGGCTGACCCCTTAAATCTAGCATAGATACATTCTACTACTATGCACTATGCCCCTTCTAGTGCATAGCTAGTTTTAGAACTTTTCGTTCTAACTATTACTTCCCTAGCTATTCTTCTAGCTAGAAAAAGGCAGTTATCTATAGTTATCCTAGAATTTTACATCTTCTTTATTTTAATAATACTATACTTACCCCCCTATCTACTTACCCCCCCCCCCTTTATACTCTATAAAAGTATTATCGCTCTATATAAATTAAACTAACATTGCTTATATAGAATCTACTTATTTTTTAAGCTTTTAATATATAGTTATTTTTATATTATTACTTATATATAGCCTCTATAGCTATAGTAAGGCTAATAAGGGCCTAGGTATTATAACTACGGTTAGCGGGCCGTAGGAGAGCCGGCCACGTTTACGTGATAAGGCGGCTCGGAATAATAGTTAGGACGAGAAGTCACTTAGGCTTAGCTTACTTAGAGCGTACGTAAGCTAAGTAAGCCTTATATAGATAGATTACTACTAAGGAGCATAGCTTACGAGTAAGCTATAGTAAGCTACGAAGGGGATCACGGCTAGGACCGTAATCTAAGGATAGTCTCTACGGGTATATATAGCTACCTACTTTTACTTCTTTAGATAGATAGCTCGATAGCTTTTAATATAGATCTTTATTACGATTCTATCTCTAATACTAATTACTTAGTTATAGTCTATAGTCTATAACCTCTAACTTATTACTAACGTAATATACTTATTATTACTTAGACCACGCCCTATTATATCTACTAATATAAACCCCTCGATAGGTTTATCCTTTAAGAATAATACTAGTTATTATACGTTAAAAGCTCTTATTTAATATAATACCGCGTTACTTTAAGTAATATCGTAACTATTAATATACTTATATAGTAAACTAGATTAACTAACTCTAAAGCTACTATATCGCCTTAGGATATAATATACGAGATTATTACCTTTTAATATAAGGTATAGTTACTTAGGAATAAAGGAGGCAATAGATAAGTTAGGGACCTCGGAGAAGTAGTTAAACTAAAATAGCTAGGACTATTTAATAGTACTTATAGCACGCTTCGAGACTTTCTTACCTAACTTAAGGCCTACTACCGGTTTTACCCTACTAAACTCTTAGACCTAGTCGAAAAGGTACTCTACGTAGGAAATTATTTATCTAGAATAGTACTTACTTAGTTTAGACCTAATATAAGGGATTTTCTCGATAACTAACTAGCGCGATAAGGTAATAAGATAGATAAAGTCTTTACTAGTTTCTAAGGATTTAAAGAAGCTATTATAAAGGTATTTAGAATAACTAACGAGTAACGAGAAGCTAAATAGAAACTTTAAGAACTCTAATAAAGGATCTTAATATCGGATTATACTATAAAGTTCTATTAAGTTACTATAAGAATATACCCTTATATTCCTATTTTACTATTATAAAGAAATAATAGGCATAGGGAGGCTTTATAGAATAAGCTAGTAAAAAGAGGCTCTATAATATAGTCTAAGGGAATAACCCTTAAAAGACAAAGACCTCTACTAGATAACTATACCTTCCTCTAGGAAAAGCGGGTTAGGATAAGCCTATCCTTATAAACAAAAATATGCATAAAATGCATAAGTCAATTACGAGTAGAACGGATACCCTATTGCCTATTTTGGCCTAGCGGTTCCGAAGATATCCGCGATACGAGAATAGGTAGGGCATAGAACATTCTAGTTAAATCTACTACTCATGCTAGAACCCATAGTCTTACGTTAACCATCACGCCATAATTAGACCGCCTACTAAGTTAGGAAGATATACTATAGATAGAGCTTTTTAAGCACTATAGAATGTGCTAGAAAGCTAACTAATTAGTCTACTAGTAGGCGACCAATGGTCTATAAAAGACGAAGGATTTCCCTAGGAGTAGTAGATAGAATAAGCAAGTTCGTAAGTATCTTTTACAACGCTATTCTTTTAATATATTATTTAGCCCCTTATATGCTCGTTATAAATTCCGGACGAAATCCTACCCTATACTCCTTCGACCGATCTTTCCGCTTACGTTATCGATTACCCGATTCTACGCTTATTACTTATACCTTCTTATAGTTACCTTAAAGCTTAATTAAGATAATAAACCCCTTATATTACGATTCTACGATAGGCTTAAAGAAGAAGTTAAGGATAAGCTCTATAAGGAAAATCGACTTAATAACCTCTCGGACTATATTACTATAGTAGTACGAATTAATAATAGATAGTATATATAACGCTAAGAAAAGAAATAAAGAAGAGGAAACTAGAACCCTTCTTATAAGAATAACTTTAACTAACGAGCTAATTATAAAAAGAAGCGCGAAACTCCTATTACTTATACTTATATAACTAACCTAGGTAGGATAGACCTAAATATAATATAAAAAAGTAAAAGAAAGTATTTTAACTATAGGAAACTTAGATATTACTTTAAAGAATATAATAACCTTATAAGGAGAAGAAAACCTACTAAGTACTAGCCCTAGAAGGTAAGAAATACTTAAACGCTATTAATAGATAAGAACTAAAGTATAAACTCCTTAGTTAGACTATATATTATAATAACGAATATATAGTATACTTAAGTAATAAGAATAGTACTAGATAGTTCTTAAAGCTATTAAAGAAGACCCTTATAATAATATAATAAAGGGATCCTAAAATATAGAAATAAGTTAAATTTATAGAACCGGAATACCCCTATCTTAAAGGAGTCTCTTAAGACTAAATTAAAAAGAATAGTAAATAATTCTAAGAAGATATATAAAATAAAAATCGATAATAATAATAAGCAGTCTATAAATAATATAATAAAGAAGGTATAGATATAGCCCTTATACTTATAAAACTTAGATAATAACTTAAAGAGGACTAATAAAGTATCGACGATATAAGCTCTAAAAAATAAGAAATACCTAGAGAAATAGAAGATAAGAACGAACTTATACTACTACCCTTATTACTAAGGGGAAATACTACGATTAAAGAATACGCTTTATACTTCGAAGAATTTAAAGAAATACTTAAAATTAGAACCTAATAAATACCTTAAATTCTTATAGAAAACTAATAAGGTATATTAATTCGATATTAACTAGTACTATATAAAGGAGACTACGCTATAGCTATTACTATAGTCGATACCTTTATAGCTCTATAATAGGAATAGTAACTATAAGGAGAATTTAAAGATAATCTATAAATACTACTTACTTATAAGTACTATAAGTAAATTTTATATATATTCTATATCTACTTAGATTATATAATATACTTCTAGATAAAGGTATAATATAATACCTTCTTAGTTAGGTTCGAAGGATAAGTACTTTTAAAACCCTACCTAAGTATAAAACTAAACTACTAGAAAATCGATTAACGCTACCTAAACGACTAAGTTATATTATTAGAACCTAATTACGGTATACTACTTAAATACCGCGATAATTATAGTTTATTAATAAGATATCTTTTAAAGATATATAAAATCTATAAATACGCTAAAATAAAGGAATAGTATAACGCTACTCGCTTTAAGGCATTTAAACTATTAATCTTTTAAAGACTTACGTAATAAATTAAATATAATAAAGAAGATTATAACGAATATATATACTTAAACTATAAAGTTTATAAATATAAAAAGGTATAAGTATAGTATAAATAATATAATAGTATACTAAAAGATTATTAGTAATACGTATAAAGGCTATAGGCTATATTTAACTAAGGAAGAATCGATATAGAAATATTACGCGAAAAATAAAAAGACGCTAAATAAAAACTTAACCTTTAGTATAAAAATAAATAAAATTATAAAGTATAGTATATAATTAACTATAAAGTAATATAATATAAATAATATAGCGTCGAGAAATAAGAAATCTTCGATTAGCTATAAGAAATTAGTCTCTTAAGCCCTAATATAATACTATATAATAAATATATAAAGAAACGATATTAATAATAAATTAAAGAAGAATACCTAAATAAAATAAATAAGGACTAGGTAAAAAATAAGGTATGCTATTTATAAAAGGGCTATAAACTAGTATAATACGATAAGATCTAAGGACCCTATATATAGTAATAGTAAGCTATAGTAACTAAATAGTATTAGATATTTAAATCGTAGGATATTATATATATATACTTTTAAACTATAATACGATAGGTAATTACGTTTTACTTAGAGTCGTTAATCGTTACTAACTTATATAAAGATATAAGATAGATCTATATAAACTTATAAATATCGAAGGAGAGGCCTTTAACTATAATAATAGAATTATTAATATAGAGATTAATTACCTTAATATTAATATCTAGGGCTATAATAAATAAGTTAACTTTAATATTATAGATATTAAAGAATACGACTTTATATTAAGGCTTCTATAGCTATAAGAGAGCAACTTATTAATTAACTAAAGAACTAGCTAGCTATATTAAAATAAAG